TGCATCAATTACATCACCAACGATATAAGGTCATATAAAGAAAAAACTSAGGAAGAACAAGAAATGTATGGAAAACGCTTCTAAGAATATTATCGAATGCTACGAATCTATCGCGATTGACTGATGAACTCCATGGAAAAATATGGTGAGCCAGCTAATGAAGCGATGGCCAAGTGTGGAAAAATCATAATAAAATCATAATACATGTATGTGTAATAATAATGACGATAAAAATGATTTAAAATATATAACAAGTGCTGGTATTGATGACGGCGATTGATGCCTGATTGATGTTGAGTTTCCTTCAAGGGGGRACAGGGAGCCCGAAAGATCAAAACATGTTGTAAATGAGACTTTCATGATCCCTTCCCTCCTTCTTATCAACTTTACGATCACTATCTTTAATGCGCTTCCAGTCCCTTTCCTCTTACTCTGTTCAGCACATGCATGAAGTCCAGAAACAAATTTTTCAAAAGATCGAAAGCCGAACTTTGCATGACTGAAATATCCGCATCATACATACCGATATTTTCTTTRTGAAACTCTTGATGTTTTCGCGATAGTTTTCTTTTGAGGCTTTGATCGATGGTTGGTACTCGGCAACAAGACACTCAATAATACTTTTGAATATATTTATTGAAATGTGTGCAAATTATTGCATTACATGCATTCATTAACGGAAATGAAGAACTATGCAACAAACTATTTTTGCTAAAAGTACAATTTGATTATTAAAAATAAGTACTAAATTCTCTAGTAAAATGTCGTTCATTCTATAGCAGAATGCAGAGTAGATATGTAATTCAATTCCAGCTTGAATTTAATTTTGATTGCATCAATTTATGTTGCAGAGAATGATGTAGAATCCCGGCAAAACGTGATCACACCCCACCATCCAACAGATTTTAACAACTCAATTTGAGTTACCAAAACAATTCTTTTTCAAATATTTTCAAACTCCATCAAACAGCTTCTACCAACGCCAAACTAGTCGGATAAACAACAACAAACGATAGTTAATGATGCTGAGGGCGTGATCAACATTTCAGTCTTGTTTGATCAGGACTTCAAGGATCCTTTACATTTGCTTATACATATGTGACAAGGTTGTGTGACATTTACCATATTTGGATTTGTGATCTCGCGTGAGCGATCACGCATTATTGTCCGTTACATGAATAAAATTCAGTTCTGCTCTAGCCAGCGTACCTGGCCGGTACGTTGATTAGGTCTGCCAAACAAATTGCGTTTTTATTTCATTTCTTCGGTATTTTGAATGTTGAACACCAAGAAAGAACTCAACGAGAACCACTTGGTCACA